AGTGCTCCCCCTGTGGGAGTGCACTGACCAGCACCAATAAATGCTCATTCTTTTTACTCCTTATCAGTATCATCAGCCTACATGGTGTTCTTTGATTGTTGTTAATGTACATTTTATTTATTTATTTATTTTTATTTTTTTTTTAAATATATTTTTTATTGATTTTTTACAGAGAGGAAGGGAGAGAGATAGTTAGAAACATCGATCAGCTGCCTCCTGCACACCCCCTACTGGGGATGCTCCCCGAAACCAAGGTACATGCCTTTGACTGGAATCGAACCTGGGGCCCTTGCGTCCACAGGCCGACGCTCTATCCACTGAGCCAAACCTGTCAGGGCTGTTTATTTATTCTTTTAGGAATTTTTCTGTTCATATCTTTTGCCTATTTTTAAAACAAATATAATCATCTTTTTCTTGATGCTTCACAAAAACGTTTATATATTAGAGAGGTTTACCCTATGTCTGTTTTAAATACAGTCAGTGAAGCTCAGTCTAAGCTGGCTTCTTTCCGTCTGAAGGTCTGGGACACGCCTTCTCACTGGAGAGAACACCACATCGTCTCACTGGGCCGCATTGCTCTGGCTCTGAACGAGAGTGAGCTGGAGCAGCTGGACCTCAGCTCCATCGACACCGTGGCTTCCCTGAGCCGGCAGTCAGAGTGGACCCCGGGACAGGTCGGTAGATGTTGCTGCACAGGACGGTGCCCAACAAACTAAGCCACCCGCTCCAGGCCTGGGTCTTTCAAATACTCCATCATCACTGACATTTTGGATCTGTTTTTATGGAGTAATTTTTCTCCTAATTATGAGCCATATTTTCTCATATGCAAGCATAATAATTTTGACTGGCTGGTGGGCACTGTGAGTTTTATAGATTTGAGTGCTTGATTTAGTTATACTCCTTTGACGAGTACGGGGCTTTGATCTGCCACACATTTAAATGACCTTCAGATCAGTTTGACTTGGGGGCCTTCCTTTTGAACTTGATTAGGGTGAGTGTAGAGGGACCTTCATTCTGCGGTTAGTTATCCCCATGACTGAGACAGGGTTCTGAGAGGAGTGCCTAATACCGCTCTGTGTATTTCAAGACCTCTCTCGTCAGGCTGGTGGGAATGTGGACTCTCTCCAGCTCCGCATGAGCCCTGAGAATTGCCCAGCCCACTGCGTTCTGATGCCTCGTCCTGATATGTACGTGGGGTTTTGTTCCTGCTGGTGCAGATCAGTACTTAGCTGACTTGAGAAGATCTCCCTGCAGATCCCGGGAGTGGGCTGACTGTGCAGGGCTTTCCTCGCCAATTATAGGGGCCCTGACCTCTCCAAACGAGATCTCCGTATCCTCAGCTAAGCTGGACCACTGGGCGTGTTTGGATTCCCTTTCCTGCTCCACGGCCTGGAAACGGCCTTTGGGCAGTGAAGGGGTCACCTCACTTGCTTTCTTTTTCTTAGGATTATAATCCTATGCTGCTGTTGTCCAACATCTGAAGGCAGTCCTTTTATATGGTTTGTTCAGTTTTCTTGTTGTTTTTTTTGTTGGAGGGCGAGTCCTGTGTCGGTTAATCCTTCATGTGCTAAAGAAGTTCTCTCCAGAATTGGTTTCAGTTGGGAGGGAAGTTAATGTGTCGCTAGTGAGGGGGTCTCAGGGCTCTGTGTTGTCTCATTCCCAGGGCCATCTTTAGCTCTAGGCTCACACATTATCTAATTAATAACCCACAAAAACTACCCTTCCTCATCAGTCTTTGAAAAAGTCCAAGCATTGTCCTGGCCGGGTTGGCTCAGTGGATAGAGTGTCAGCCCGGGGACTGAAGGGTCCTGGGTTTGATTCCAGTCAAGGGCACATGCTTGGGTTGTGGGCTCGATCCCCGGGGGGGGGGTGTGTGCAGGAGGCAGCCGATCCATGATTCTCTCTCATCATGACAGGGAGCTATCATGCACACTGATCGCCCCCTACCTGCCCCGCTATTGACCTGGTTGCTCCCTAACTAAACCCCTTCCAGCCTGGTTGCTTCCAACTGCCCCCCTGCTGGCTAGAGGGCAGACACTCAACACAGGAGCTGCCATGACGCGCACTGGCCATTTAAAAATAAATGGCACCACGGACCTGGTACCAACAAACCAAAACTCGGCTCCCCTAAGTGGGACACAGGCCCTGCCACCACCCCGGAGTGACACCCCACCAAATCACAGCCAACGCTGCCAAGACCCCATGGCGCAAAATGCGGCCCACAGCCCAGCCCAGCCCGAAACAGTCGCTGTGGGCACCGGATAATGACGTCATGTAGCAACGCCCGGCTTCCTCTCCCTCGCGACTAGCCTCCTTGCAGTTTCTTCAGCCCAGG